TAAATATATTTTTATATAAAAAAATAGATTTTTTAATATATCATAAAAAAAATTTACCAAAAAAAAGGGATTAGACAGGATAATGCACCGTCAAGGCGCGCCCTAGGCGGCGCATTATGCCGCATTTTAGAACAAAAACGCATTTTTCGAGCATACCCCGAATTCGACGAGTTTTCCACCCGCATCGCTCCTAGGCGCACGTAGGCGGCGCATTTTCACGCATTTTAGAACATGGGTTTAATATTGACGTCAAAAATGAAAAAAACATGTGATGTTCAAATAAGTCATCATTTTGTATGGGACATTAAGAGCCTACATGAAAATATTATCTAACATTTAAGGATGCGAACTAGTCCTCTTAATTGGTGTTTGGTGGAGATTAAAATTAGATTTTTAGTAAATTGTGATATATATTTTCTTCTGAACATGTATAATTCATTTATGTTTTTCTCCTAATCACATGTTCTTTATTCTATCCAATTCTTAGGTATAGGATTTAGTATATACCAACAATGTCACGGGTAGCTGAAAATGGCGGGTCCGTTCGATGAGACGGTAAGGGCCGACTTTTGAAAAGTCAAAATTTCTTTAGAAATTAAAAAGTTTTGTTCGAATATATTTGTATAATTTTTCGAAATTGTTGTCGGGCTAGAAAGAGGAATGTGATGTAATGTAGTTTGCTCGAAAAACTATTCTACAAGAAGCATAAATCCTGTCACATGGATCCTAAGAATTAATATTAATTATGTATGTGAATTAATCTTTGTAATGTAGTTGAATTAATTGGAATAGTAAGCTTAAGACGAACATTTATATATTATACTACCATTAGGGGCGGACCCACAAGGGGTCAAATGACCCCAGAATATATATATATTTTTTTGAGCTTTCTTCTTGAGTTTTTTTTTTTTACCTAAACATTTTTGAATTCTCATTTTTGTCCCGACAAGAAAAATAGTCTCGGTCCACCCCTGAATACGATAAACAATCACACACGGATTGGTACTACTGTAAACACCATGCAACATATTTTTTTGTCGGGAACCAATCCCCGTTGCTTTCTCTCCATAGAAACGAATGTCCATTGCTTACGTTTTCCGAAAATAATTGCCATCGGTTCTTGTTTCTCGAGTTTGTCTTCACCTTGAGCATTGTGCTTGGTTCTCGCGTACAACCTTCTAATCAAGTCGTCCCTTGAAAGTAGTAATACAAATAAAATCTCAAATTTGATTTGGCGGTGTGAACGTACAAACTAGATTGATGCACCCCGTGAATGATATAAATTATTCTATTGCCGTGCACCAACTATATGCTTCCAAGTTCCATGGCCACAAGTCACTACACAACAATAAAGAGTCACGAGACTCATTTGCTTTTACATGAAAACCACAAATTCAATACAAAAGATTGCATCATTTCATTACCCTTTTCTTTTAATATGATGATCACCACACCACCACACCCCTCCAATCTCAATGGTCTATCTAACTTTCTCACCCTACACATGCACACTTACATATATTTAGTGTTTATATATGTGCATTATTTGAATCCCATAGTAACATTCAAATAATAGAGGAGTTGCATAGTGTACGTCGATTTTGTCCATAATCTTAGATATGATATTACGTACTATACGAAGCATTGTTCAGAAGAAATATCAATTGCCCTATATGGGATGACGTAGGAGAACCTCACTTATTGAGTTGGAAAAAAAATTATATGTGGTCACTGAACTTTCAGAAAAAAAATCAATTGAGTCACCAAAGTACAAGTTTAAGTTCAAATTTCACCACTCCTTCATCCATTGTATCTCAAATTAATGAAAATTGCTTAATTGGCGATCATTCCACAACGAAGCTTCCACCAAATAGTTGGTGACACGCTGGCTTACTAACCAACTACGTTATAGAAGTGCTAAAATAAAAAAAACATACAATTTAACCTTTTAAATTTGAGACAAATTAAATTTGAAGACGTGCTTTCAGCCGTCGAGAAAATCCGAAAGGACACACAAGTCATTGCTTGAAAGTTAATGTTAACATTATCATATACTAAGGGTAATTTTGAAAAGCTAAAAATGGGGTAATAGCTTCTTTATTGGGAAATTTGTGAACTTAACAAGAGATAAATGGACAGTACTAGAAAAACCTTTTGCTGCATTATTAATTAATCAAGCAGGACAAAAAAAAAAATGAAAAATATAATTTTCCTTGTTTGTTAGATTAGTGAATAGTGTTTAATTCCATTTTTCTATGTTGGATCTGAAAATACACACAAACACACAATACCAAACATACAGATACAGCACAAGATTCATTTTTTATGTTGGATCCAAAAAATAGAAAAAAAATGGCAACTACGTCTTGGAAGTTCAAACAAAGAGGACGTATTTGATACTTTGAACTAGATAAAAGCGTACAACATTACAAAGAGACTGATGTAATAAAAAGAGTCGTCAATGCTTAAATTTATCGACTTTGTCTATTTAAAGCAGCAAAGAGTGAACACATTTATCAGTTTCAACAGTCGAAACTCACAGCCAAATTTGCCACAGAAACGATACTCCTAGAGCTCATTGTTTTCTCAAAAATATTCCTATTGACAACGATGAGCGGATCAACCAGAACACGACACTTGTCGACTTTCTGTACGAAAACTTATCGTCTTGGACCGTTTGAGCATTTTTAGTATAAATTACGGCTTCTACTTACTTTTGGTTTCTTGACACCACATTCTTAAGCTCTCTATATTAGTTTTCACAATAAAATCTCCAAAAAGTAGGAATTTTCCAATGAAGAATCATCATTCCTTAATGCTTTTATGCATTGTTATGCTTGTAATTTGTCAAAATTTAGGCAATGTGGAAGGGAGGTATCATTTCCACAAGAAGCAAAAGAGCAAAACTTCAAATATAGTTTCACCTGCCTATGCACCAAGTCCTGAAGACCCTATTTCCCAACCTCCTGATTATCCTCCACCAGTTCCTTCTGACCAGAGCTATGCTCCGGCCCCGTCTGACATGAGTGATCCAGGAAACTCGACCACCGACTGCATTTTCGACGTTAGGTCTTTCGGGGCGGTTGGTGATGGTGACAATGACGACACTGCCGCCTTCCGGGATGCTTGGAAGGAAGCCTGTCAAGTGGAATCAGGTGTTGTTTTGGTTCCATCAGATGGCACTTTCATGATCACTTCAACAATTTTTTCAGGCCCTTGTAAATCAGGACTAGTTTTCCAAGTAAGTCGAACTGAAAATTCATGACCAACATGAAATTTCTTTAGAAGTTAACCAACAATTTTGAGTTTTGAATGTGCGAAGGTGGACGGGGTACTAATGCCGCCTAATGGACCGGATTGCTGGCCAAAATCAGATAGCAGTAAGCAATGGCTAGTGTTTTATCGGCTCGATGATATGACTCTCACCGGTACCGGAACAATTGAAGGCAATGGCCAAAAGTGGTGGGATCTTCCTTGCAAACCTCACAAGGTAAAAATATTGATTCTACTTGGCATTAGATGATTTTCAACCACAAATAAAATGCAACTTATCGAGTAAAAATTCCAACTTCAGGGCCCTGGTGGATCGACATTGCCCGGACCGTGTGAAAGCCCAGCAGTAAGTGTAAATAGTGTCAATTATTTGAGTCAACTATAACAATAAAGTAATAATCTTGATGCCTTTCTCCAGTTGATTCGATTCTTCATGAGCTCCAATTTAGTGGTCACGGGTTTGCGAATCCAAAATAGTCCTCAGTTTCACATGAAATTCGATGGCTGCCGAGGAGTACTCATCAATAGGTTGTCCATATCTTCGCCTAAGCTGAGCCCGAACACGGATGGAATTCACATTGAGAACACAAAATCAGTCGGAATATACAACTCTGTGATCGGAAATGGTAGCGAAAAATTCTTAAATTGAAAATTTGTTTCAATAATCATCATATTTTGTTTTTGGTATTTGAAATAGGCTGTATTTTTTATGATAAAACAGGGGACGATTGCATCTCAATTGGAACTGGTTGTTCAGATGTTGATATCGAAGCCGTTACATGTGGACCGAGTCACGGTATCAGGTATTGTACATCTGTGGTTCCTATTTTTGTCAATAAAGAATAAGAAAAAGTACGAACTTAGAAGGGAGCTAGGCCTCACTACATCTCATTCAACCCTTTTTACGCAGCATTGGGAGCTTAGGGGTGCAAAATTCCCGCGCTTGCGTTTCCAACATTACAGTTCGCAATGCAATCATAAAAGACTCGGACAACGGACTCAGAATCAAGACGTGGCAAGGAGGGTCGGGGTCGGTGACAGGCATCTGGTTCGAGAATATCCAGATGGAAAATGTCAGAAACTGCCTTATTGTCGATCAGTACTACTGCTTATCAAAAGCTTGTAGGAACCAAACCTCTGCCGTTTACTTGACGGATGTGACATACAGAAACATAAAGGGGACTTATGATGTAAGAAGTCCTCCAATACATTTCGCCTGTAGTGACAGTGTCGCCTGCACGAACATTACAATGTCGGAAGTCGAGCTGCTGCCCTATGAAGGTGTATTGGTCGATGACCCTTTTTGCTGGAATGCATATGGTACTCAAGAGACATTAACTATACCTCCAATCGATTGTTTACAAGACGGAATGCCCCAGTCACTGGCAGAGAATTCCCTATATGACTGTTAAAAGAACTCAAGAATTGGTTATTTTTATAGTATACTAGAGCTAGCTAGCTAGCTGGAATACTGTATAGATTTGTACTCATCTAGATTCATTACTTTCTGGGTCTCGTCAGATTCATCCCATCCCTTGGGATTATTTCCCTTATCGTGTAGAAAATATACAATGTTATATGGTACATTTTTCTACCCTGCTATGTAACAGAGTCGACTTATAAGCCAGAATATAAGTTGTAATCCTTATTCAAAGATCCATTACTATTGCAATCATTTGGGTTTCTCGAACAAAATAGCTCTCGACTTCAATTTAATAATCTACAAAAATAGATTTTTCATCAAAATAATTCCATGCAGCAGCTAGAATATTCAGGCAACCTTAAATGTAACAAAAAGCTAAAACTTTGATATACATCTAGCTCTGTGGATCAGGCTATTTAAAGGAAACAAGAACTACAAACTTAATTACGCCGTATTCGATCGGAATATAGAATCAGCCAACACAGACCTTAACCCTATGAACCAAAACACACCTCATCTATGGTGTATATTACTCACGGTCAGCAAGACATATCTACAGCCACGACCGAGTATGATTGATAACCTCAAAGTCACAACAAAAAATTTGCAAATATTTCCCATAAAAAATGTAGTCCTCCAGATTCACCATGGATCAACCTTTTTGAGGCCCTATCTTCCTCACATCCCCGCAAAGAGCTCTAAGATCAAGTGGGATTGTTCCAACGGTTAAAAAGCCAGAAGATTCGGCGAAACTATTAACTTCGACCGGCACAGACCCTACTGTGACAACATTGACTGATTCAGTATTTACTGCAGTAGTAGCAGTCAACAGACACTCTGAATCAGACCGTTTTGATGTGATATTTAATGAACCGATCATTAATTCATCACCAGCGTTTGCTTCATCATCTGCTAGAACTTTACAGTTTTCATTCGCAGGGGTTGAGTTGCTGTAATCAGTATCCAAGGAAACCTGTTCTATAGGAGCTGAGGCATTCTTTTCAGAGCTATCCCATTCTGCATCTGAAGAAACTTCATTCCCCTTAACTACACCAGAGTTGTTGACATCGTGCTTGGTAACTTCATCATGCCCACCAGAAGGAAGATCACGAATTGAAAACTTGCGCGGAGGATCCAAAATCGGTACAAGGTATGGATTTCCATATCTCTTTATTAGCAGCCTCGATTTCTCTTCCTGTAGGATCCTCTGTCTACTTTCGTAAAACATGAAGTCGTCCAGTAAGGATCTATTCGAAGTGTAATTTTTGAATATTTTCAGCATCTCCAGCCCTTTCTTGTAGCCTATCTGAACATCAACAAATATTATCATATTGGCAAGCTAACCAAAATTATCAAAATGTAAACTAGAGATCCTTTGTCATCAAATCAAGACAGATATTACTTCTGGATTTAAAAGAGAAGAAATTTTCCAGTCAAGTATTAGAAATCTTGAGTTCTATCAAATATTGTACAAACAAAAGGCAGGACAACGTGCTAAAACTTGCACTATAGAAGAACCAATCTAAAACCAATGTATGTTTGTTAATAACAATCCTCGGATTGTTTCAAGTCTAAAAGGCTAAAATTAACAGACCGTTTGTATAGGTGTCTTTCTATTTCTAAATTCAACACATGATAATGACAGGTTTCTGAAATGAAACTAAGCCCCTATTTCGTGTAGATTAAAATAAGATTTTTAGTAAATTTTGTTGAATGTTGATGAAATGTGTGGTTGTGAAGTTGTGGTCGCATAAAATGAGTAGTAAAAATTAATCGTTGACTTTGACTTAAAATTAGTCTGGATCAATCAGGAGCTAAAACTTATTGACTTTTCAAACAGGTTCACTTACAACTGCTGCTTCGGTCTCCAGTAGAATCAGTTTTGGTGTAAACTTAGAACAACTGCAAACCTGTACTATCTAAGATCCATGGAATCCACAGAAGGCACACTACACTACATTCATATGATAAATGGGTCAGATTTGGACAGTCCTTCAAATGTAAATTTACAAGAGGCAATACGAACTGCTAGTAACTCTTGAAAAAATCTTTAACAGAACTGAGAAAATAACAAGAACTGGGTCAACAAGGGACAAACTACTGAATGAGGTTATTTAGCTAGCCAAGACAGCTGTTCTCATTTAGTTCCATAACTAGTAAAGCAATGAATGGATTTGACCGGATTATCATAATCACTTAGAAGTCAACTTAAAGAGATGGCATCAAATATGAATAAAATCACACACAACATTCACTATTAATAATCTTCTTATTGATTTATTTGGTCAAATAGGGTCGCAGAAAAATGTAAACATACCTCTTGTGTGTCTCTGCTGTTAGTCACTGGCTTATTCTCATTATTCTCTAGTATAATGTGCCTGAAGTTGGGGTTTTGTACATCCTTTACCACGTGCCACTTCACAGGGAAGCTGCCACTCCATTTATCTTGCTGCCAGAAATCCATATCTTTATGAAATTCCACAGGACCAATCATCTCTGCAACCCCACAGAACCGGCCACTTGCATTAACCTTTAGCAAAAGAAGAGACGAGCACTAATCAGTAACATTAAGGCATAATGGAAAGAGTCATTGAAAAGGAAAATAGCGATTTGAGACATAATATAGGTGCTGAACAGAGTTAGGTCAAATAATGTAACTCACAGAAAAGAAGAGGAAGATAGGACAGCCTCTTGAATCTGCAGCAGCTATTATCTGAGCATCCTTATAAGCATTATTTAGCTTCTTGTTTCCATTAGGCGTAGATGACCACACATTGTATTTTATACTCTTGTGCACATCATCCTCACTATATGATTTAATCACAAAGAACTTTGCATAGATGTAATCAAGAGCAAAATCACCCTTCCTATACTGATTGGCATGGATAGTTATGTTTCCTTGTTCATCAGGATCTCCAGCCCTTGTCGTGTACGATTTAACCACCAATTGATTTTTTGATTTGTTAGTTTTAGGCACACGATTATGTTCGACTTTATCAGGACTGACTTTTACATCATCCGGAAATTTCTTATACAGTAACTTGGGTCTAACTTCATCTACAGATCCCAGTGCATGATCACTCGATTCAAAACCAGACAATCCATTGTCAGGAGGAAGAGCAACCTGCGGTTGAGTACTACCAGAAGATGCCTTCCCAATTGAAACATTTTTTACAGGTTGAGAACCTCTACCCTGTAAAAGACAGGATCAGGGGAATACGTCACAAACCACATAGATGAAAGAAATGAGAGAATAAAATAGCCTGGACACTGAAAATCAAGTAAATATCTCCTGTTGCAACTGCCATTATCTCATCAGAGTCTTACCTGGTGAATTTGTGATGATGCTGGACCTGAAAAACCACCAGATTTACCACTTCCATGAGGCATGGGATTGTTGCTAGATCCAGTGTTACCTCTAGTTCCATCAGCTACCATTCTAAATGAATTAGTCAAACTAGAAACATTCCCTAACGACGTCCGAGAAAAAATTGGAGATTTTGAAGACAAATTGTGCTTACGAGCTTGACCATCAACTCGACTAACAGATGCAGCATTATCAATAATATCACGACTAGATTGAAGAACCACAGGCACATATGCAGTCGAAGAAACAGGAATCTCGTAAGAGGGAATGGTGTGGTACTGCTGGCCACCTACAAGTGGGTCATCTACTCCTATCATAGAACCAGGGATATAAGGATTATACGGGTTATAAGGAGCCTGTGCATATCCATAGTTAGGTGTATAATACACATATGGCAAACATTCATTCGGCGAACCCTGCAAGATAAGATCCATATATTCAATAACTTGAGAAGAATCCAGATCATAAATTTCTTAGAATGCCACTCACAGTGTACTGAACATCTTGGCCATCCAAAACAAAAATCCCATGGTGGTCATTCCAGTTAGCAGGTGACTCAAATCCTACCAAAAATGAAGCAGGTGGCATCTATCAAGTTCCAAGGCTAAATTATTGTAAGCTCAAACTCGAACAAAAAAGACATCAGAGGAGGCCATATTTACCTGTACCTATATATCCATAATTGGTGGCAGTAGGATAATACAAACCCTGATCAACAATAAACTCTGGGGCACCCTCGTTATACATGGCTTCAAATTGATCAAGTGGACGAGTGAATTGTCGGTTTAACTCAGCAACTTGAATCTGAATAAAGATGCCTTACTATATTAAAATACATAAATACCAAGCATAAAAATGAACAAAAACAATGAGTTAATATGTTGGAATCTCATTGGAGAACTACCCCAGATAAAATGCATGTGGAACTACTGCTGAACTTAATTGAAAAGGGAAACCTTATTCAGAAAGTTAAGCATGGATCAGACTTTTCTAAAAACCGCTACTAAAAACCACCGGAAATCGGACTCCTCGTACACGCCAAAATCGGTACTTTATGAAACCTCATAACCAGTACCCAAAACTCCCAACCAGACCCTAACAGAACAAGGGCAGAACACACAGAGCCACAGTTTTGTTTAGCTAAAAAAGTTAATAAAAATCTGATTCAAAGTTAACATTTAATTTTAATGAGACCAACAACTTTCATCAATCTTTAAATCACACATTTCATCAACTTTTACCAAAATATACTAAAATTCAGATTTTTAGCTAAATCAAACAGTGGCAGAATTTATGGAGGAAAGAACAGTAAATTATTAGGAAAATAGCCAATTCACATACAAATACTGATTATTTGCATAAAATAGCACAAAGACGCAAATTCAAATCAGCCAGTCAACCATGACAGATCAAAATCCCAAAACTCATGACGAAATTTCTACCGTATTAATAGAAAACGAAATAATTGGGGCTCAAGAGTATAAAAAGGACAAATTTCTACCGTATTAATAGAAAACGAAATAATTGGGGCTCAAGAGTATAAAAAGGACACATTGCCAAATGAAAAATATAAACCATTATGGAAAAGCACAAT